ACGGTAGGTTAGGTTGGTTGGTTGGTCGGTCGGTCGGTCGGTCGGTCGGTCGGTCGGTCGGTCGGTCGTCGTCGTGTCGTGTCGTGTGTGTGTGTGTGTGTGTGTGTGTGTGTGTGTGTGTGTGTGGTGTGTGTGGGGGGGGGGGGGTCGCGCGCGTGTGTGTGTGTACGCGTGCGTGCATGCGGGCGTGGGTGTGTCAGCGTGTCTCGCATTCGAAACATTGCATATTATACTGTAAATATACTTCCGATATGTAATATCTCTTCGCCTTTCCTTCATTTATTTTCATAGCAATTAAAAGTTGTGTGGTTTTGTATGGGCCATATACACGTGCTATTATTCGTGAAGGTGCGTACTATCAATAGATAGGCAGTATAAAGATAGTTTAACGAGCATTTCTAGTAAGTACATTGACAGCCAAGTCGCCTGTAGACACATATGCAACTACTAACCTCTCCGTTGACGGTAACCGTCGTTTTTCCGCCTTCCGTTTTCACCTTCTCGCCGATGACAAAGCCATCTTTCTTATTCGGCACCCAGCACATCTTCTTCGCGTCGAACGGAATGTTCGACTGCTCGATGCGCATCTTATCATTTGGCTTCAGGAACTGCCATGGGTCCTGCTGCAGCAGCTCCTTGGCACCCCACGGCAGCGGCAGCGCTTCCTTCAACATGGCGTACGTGAGCAGACGATCGAACGTCGGGAGGGCCGAAGGAGAGCCGGTCGGTTGACGGAACAGCAGCCTGCGCATGCACGAGAAGACACCAATCAGACGCGCATAAGGTTGATATACTATCAAGCGTGTCATAATATAGACACTTCTATATTGTCACAATATTATATCTATACTATGTCCTATATTATGTCTATATTATGTTTATATTATGTCTATATTATGTTTATATTATGTCTATATTATGTCTATATTATGTCCTATATTATATCCTATATTATATCCTATATTAAGTCTATATTATGACACTCCTGTTACTATCATATAGGCTGCGGCAAGATCCCGACAAGATTATGAAGTAAAGGAGAGAAGAATGGTGGGCGAGATGGATTGAGGAACTGAGGGAACGCGGATGCGAAGAGAATTGAGGGTCGGGGGAGGATGGGAGAGGGGAGATAAAGGAGATGAGAGGCGAGAGAAAGGGAAAAAAAGAGGCATGCGAAAAGCGATCGCGTCGAAAGGTATCAGTAGGTATCGAAGCGTGATCAATAACTCCTATAGAACGCGGCAGAAGAATATTTGAATAATACTTACGCAACTGGTAAGACGCTCTGTTTCTCCCGCCCAAAGACGGGCCGCGTTATATACTAGCACTCAGCCATGCGCAGAAGACGTCTGCCGACGCCATAGTGGCATGAGCGTGATAACTTGATATGCTAGACTTAGACGCGCGCAGAAGTATGTCCGCGTGCTCGGGACACCGCCGCATTGCGGTAAGATATCCGAGGACGCGAGCCGCGCGCGACAGTCTAACGTCATATTAACGATTTAATTATCCCTGAAAAAGATTAAACCGAAAATAAACGCCCCCGCGCGGTGGCGATGACCATATCTGGATTCACGAGACGAAGATGGGACGTCGCACGGCGCGACCGATCGCATTCCGGTGTCCTCAGCCTCCGCAGTGTCGGCTTACGCAAAACATGCGAGGGTATCATCATCACAAGGACGAATCACGGCAAAGAGCGGCGGCGATCATATCATAGGCTCTATATATAGGGGGATGGTTGCAATGATGCGGCGATAGCAAGCGTCCCCAGATGTCGCGGATTTGCGGGGGATATAGGACGTGCCAACCAAATATGAATCGCGGGATCACTCTCTGCTGGCATTCGTAGAATTCAGCAACATTCAGATGGGTTTGACAAGAAAATGATTTTGAAAAAAAACCAATGTCAAGCATTGTGAATGTACAGCAGTAGTGTTGTTACTGAGTAGCCTGTGGCAATAACTGTATCAATATATAATGCGCGCTAATAGTTGTGTCAATTTGTAACGTGTAGTAAGTACCTTTAGCCGTTTAATTGCTTTTAGAAAGAGAGAAATGGATATAGAGACAGAAACAAATAGCGGGACGGGCGATAGATAGACTGACAAGGAGAGAGATAGAAGAGAGACTAGGCGAATAGGAAAAATAGAGAATGAGTTGTTGAAGAATGAGATTCAGATAGGCAGTGAAGAACGAGAAAGGGCGAGTATATTTAAAGGACAGCGATACATATAGGTAATAGCGAACGTTACGCCCGGTATTCCATGATGAACGCAGAAAGAATGATGAAGATGAAGATGAAAGGTAGATGAAGAAAGAAAATGATATAAAAAGTGCGTAATAGAGAGAGAGAGAGAGAGAGAGAGAGAGAGAGAGAGGGAGAGTGAGGAGCAATTGGTAAACAGCGGAGGCTGCACCAGCTGCTTCATGATGAATGTAGTTCCGCTACTAATTAACTACGGCTATATACTAGTCTCCACAACGGATGCAGCCATCGCTGCTGCCTCCTATCTTTTAGCATCTGTTCCATCGATGGCACGAGCTGGCATCGACACGGCAGCAGCATGAGCGTGACGCATGCAGGAATTCACGTACATCACTCTGCAATGTGTTATAGTTTCATAAGTGAGCAGCTAATCTGTCGAAAAAGTTGGTGAAAGAATGCGTATAAATTTCTCGGCTATAATTGTTACAACTAGTAGCCATGGAGATAGCCGTCAGACTTTGGCTGTGGGAAAATGGCCGGCGCCGTGCAGAGGAAAACAACAAAGAAATAACCAGAGGAGGAGTGAGGTTCCGCCAATATAGATTATATTAATTACATGTCTGAACTCCCTGTCTCTTTCTCATTCAAATGCTGAAAGACAAACTTTGTTGCACATATACGAACATGTGTTCCATGGTTTGAATGGTTTGAGAATTTCTGAACTCTCACTTTGACTTTGAGCTCTGAACTCTGAACTCTGAACTCTGAGCTCTGACTCTGAACTCTGACTTTGAGAATTTCTCTCTTTCATATTTACTTTCTATTCACCTCTACGTGAACACTCACTAAACCATTACGCATAGAAATGCACCGGACTGCATGGACATCTGGTAGCAGCTTGCTCAGAAAATATAAAAAATGATAATTGATGCAGCATCCCTTTCTCACTCTCCAGCTCTTTCGCGCGCGCGATCTCTCTCTCCCCTCTCTCTTGCATGCGGGCTCTCTCTTTCTCTCTATGCTCTCTCCCTCTCTCTCGCCCCCTTTCTCTCTGTCTACCTCTCAATCTGGCGTTTGTCTGGCTTTCGCCACGCCTCGTCACTTTTCTGAACAAAATAACGTTTACTTTCTCGCCACGAATGCGAGTTCTATCGTGATTATTTCTTCGACTGCTGCTGGTCGCGATAACGATATGCCTAGCTGTTACGTCTGCTGCTGCAATGTGCGCGTGCAACCGTACACCACGTCACGACCGATCGCCATCTTTTAAAAATGATAGTCGCTTCTTTACGGTAAGCTGCCTCCCGTCGGCTGTCACTCGTCTGTCTTCATCCCCGCTGCTGGCTGTCCTTCTCTCTGCTGTTGGCTGTCCCCCCCCACGCCCTGCTGTCAGCGGCCTTCCCCCATGCAGCTACGCATCTTCCCGTTTCTTGCCTTCCGATATCAGCGGGTTTTATATCATTCTTATTTCTTTAGCGGTGCACCTCACATGCGTGCGGGCGCTTTACTTGATTACTAACTCAAGCAGGACTTCATGTGGTGTAATAAGCACACCGACACGTCAATAATAAAGCAGGAATGCTATATTTAGTTCACAGTAATGCGATCTAGGAAGACCACCTAGGATGAAGGGCGAAATTGGAAGAAGACCTCGAAGAATCTCCCGAGAAAAGGAATATTTTGCAAAAATTATTTATTTAAAATAAAGAGGGGTTATCTTATCATAGATCCATATAAAAACATTAGACACATATCAGTAGACCTCGTTTAAGAAATAGGAGAAAGACCTTGCATGTAATGTCCCCGCTGCATATACCAGCTAGCACACAATTTGGCTACGTTAGTGTGTTAGCGCATGCGCAATATCTCACCAGAAGAGTTGTATTTTGTGATGAATATGCATTTGATATGGTTAGGGAGTATCTTAGCATAGATTTATGTGATCAATTGTTATCAGTGGACCTGTGTTTATAATTAGGAGAGCGCCCTAGCCTGCAGGGTACAAAACTCATAATTCGTCCCCTCCCGTCCTTCGCATTACCTTCCTTGTCCCTCGCTCAGCCTCCCTCTACTTCTGCCGCCCCTTAGCTATCTTCCCTGCCGTATTTCATCAGTCTCTCACGCCTCTCTCTACCAGCAAGCAATATTATGCAGGTTTCTTCAGTCAGCACTGCACGCCTGAAACGATACTCGCGCATGCGCAATATCAACCGAGAAGAATAATATTTTGAAAAAAATCATGAATTTAAAATGAAGAAGAGTTATCCTAGCATAGATTTATATGATAACATTCCATCAGTTAACCTCACTGAAGAATTAAGATGAAGACTTTGCATGTAAGGTACCCGCTGCATTTACAAGTCAGTACACAATCTGACTATACGTTAGTGTGTGAGCGCATGCAAAATATCTCACCAGAGGAGTTATATTTTGTGATAAATCTTTATTTATTATGGTTAGGGAGTATCTCAGCATAGAGTTATATAATTAATTATTATCAGTAGACCTGTGTTTATAATTAGGAGAGCGACCTAGCCTGTAGGGTTTGAAAACGCCTACTTTACCCCTTCCCGTTCTTGCCCATGCTTCCCTTGCTCCTCGCTCATCCTCCTTTTTCTACCGCCCCTCAACTATCTTTCCTACCGTCTTTGATCACTCTCCCACACCTCAGCAAGCTATATTGTGCAGTTTTCTTCAGTCCGTATCGCACATCAATATGCATATCAATATGCATAGTTATGGGCCCATGGGGTATCATATATGTCAGATGTTGGCAACGTATAGCCAACATAGAGTACGGCGAGTGAAGTATCATGTCTAATGTGAGGCATCCTGGTATGCCGGCATCTGTACGTACGTTAGCCGAAACTATATAGAGCCAATGGCAATATATGTAATTAATCCAATACTCGAGGGATAGACTCTGATACGAGATCGCAACCTGGTATTAATTAATTAATGACTACGGCATCGTTTTCGTATTGCTACAGTTATATACATCAGCCACGTATAGTGCCTACTTAAATTCCCCTACGTTTGAAACTGAATTCCCTAACTAAAATTTTAGAAAGTTACATGTTTCGTTAATTTATTCAATTATACTCGGTGCGCCTAGTGCGTATATGAGCTGATAAAGAGCTTATTCTCTTTCCGGATAAAATCTTCTGCATCCTAGGTCCACATGTTCTATTTGCTCTCCGTCTCCTTTCCGCAACTCTGCTTTCCGTTTCTCATGCCCTGTCTTAGTTCTCTCTTCATATATTATTTTTCTTTATATCTCTCTCTTCCTTTCCTCGCTCTCTTGCTGTCGCTGCCTTTCTCATTCTTGTCAACATAACCTTCTCTGTCATTCTCTCTCTCTCTCACCTTTGTTTGCCATTTCTTATATATATTTGTCCTCGCCTGAAAATAACACACAATAATGTGATACCATAAAGAGCTGTTAGGATGTCGTATCTAGGCTATAGTGACCTAGCTTACGGATTGAATTAGGTAACGGATAGGATTCATGTGTAATTCCTAAAATAGACTTGCGTCGAATATCGCGTTTGCGAAAAACGCACACGAAAACACTGTGCGCTCCTTTAGGTGTGTCTGTGCATATTTCCGTGTATCTGCCACAGGCACTTGAAGCGTTTCAACTATTCAAATATATAGTAATATTTTTATGTTTATGTGTCAGTGTGCGCGCAATGGCGGCGGCGTGTGTTTACAGTTGAAACGCTTCAAGTGCCTGTGGTATCTGCACTCGCTCGTGTGCGTACGTGTGCGCGTGTAAGTGTATGTGAGCGTACGAGCTTGCGCGCGTACGAGCTTGCGCGCGTATGAGCGTACGCGTAATGCCAAGGTCGCATCGCGCCATGCATATACACGCAATAGAAGCGGTTACATAGGGAATATGAATACTGCTGGTAAACGCACGTCTCTCTTAGTACATCTTGAGCTCGCAACTTACCAATGTTTTGATGTATAAAATTTCAACAGGCTGCCAGAAAATGGGAGGAGATGTAGCAGTGACCAGCAGCAGGCAAGGCTACGTGAATCAAATCTGTGCACTGGACATTGGTCACCTTATCCACCGCGCT